CAGCGTCAAAGGTCAGACAGCCATCTTTGAAGAAATGATCGAGGATGAAGAGGGGCTGGTCGACGACCGTCTTCCTACCACTAGCCGAGGTCTGTGGGCAGCCAGTGAGACAGAACGCACTTTGAAGGCCATCTTGTCTTTTGCCAAACTTAAACGCATGGACCCAGACCTGGTGGAGGAAGGAAACACTTTTATGGAACTGTTTGAGAATTGGAAGAAGGAGTACAAGGTTTGTAGGCACACTTACAACATTACAAGGACAAACGACAACAAGAGCATCTTTTATTTTTTAAAAAGCTGCATTTTTCCAGTAGGGCTCCAATAGGCATTTGGTATTATTATATGTATTATGAGGAGTCACTTTAACAAAAATTCTTTTTTTAAGTCTTTGTTTTGGTGTTGGTGTTTGTCCTCAGGTGCTGCACGAGTACTGGATGGTGCTGCGTAATCATGTGTCAGCCATCGATGAGCTGGGTATGGCCACCGAGAGGCTACGTGTGCGTCTGCCTGATGAACCAAAGCCCAAACTGCCGCACATCATAGAGCCCCACGAGGCGAGTTAAAGACAGTGACACTCATATAGCTGCACGCTTATGACAGTCTGGTAAAAGATAATTTATACAAGTTGTGACAACATGACTGACTTGTTATTAGGACTGTTAAAGGATTGGCTCTTTGCAGAGTTACTTTGCTTCATAGACTAACTGTCTGCAGAGATTTAAGGGGGGGTTTCTTCACTGTCCCTGAGTTTTCTCATGTTATTGTTGGATCAGTGGGTTTCTACATATAATATAGATCTTTATATTTTCAATTTAAAGTGTCCTGATATTTTTCATTAGCTGACCCCTCCTCTCGATTGTTTTGCTCCCAGGTGGAGCAGAACAGAGTCAAACTTCTGAACGACCAAGCTGTGGCAAAATCTCAGCTCCAAAAGAAGCTCGGCCAGTTTTTGTATCTCACAAATCTGGAAAAGGTAATTTTATAGGTGATAGTAATTACACAATTCATAATGTTACCCCAGCTAAATGTATTATGTGAGCTTACTCTGAACAACATACATTTCTTGATCCAGTCGCAGGACAAGTCTACTGGAGGTCTGAACCCAGAGCCGTGTCCCATTTGTGCTCGGCCCCTGGGACAGGAGGTGAGAGTCACTACTTCTTATACATCTTGGTTGGTGGGAACATCTCAGTAGATCATCAGTTTGTGAACTATTCATGCCAGCCTGTCTAGCATTTTCGAACAAACCACTTACAATCTGCTTTCTTCTCCATTCTGAAGCTCAGTTTGAACCTCAGCAGGTCATCTTGACCGTGTCTACTTGCCTAAATGGAATAGGTTGCTGTCACATGATTGCCTAATTAGATATTTGTATTAATAAGCAGCTCAACTGGTGTACCTAATGAAGTGGTTAGCGAGTGTTTGTAATTAATGTCAACAGTTATCCATACTCTGCTAGTCATACTTTAGAATAATATCTCGCTCTTCTCTCTTTTCCAGTGGGCCGTGCTGACGTGTGGACACTGCTTCTGTAACGAGTGTATTGCTATCATTGTGGAACAGTACAGCGTGGGCTCAAGGCGGCGTGCCATCAAGTGTGCCATTTGTAGGCAGACTACATCCCACACAGAAATCTCTTACGTGTTCACCACCCAATCATCCAGTCAGGACCAAGACATACCAGTCAAGGTCAGCCAGCGACCCCATTTTCAAAGAAAAAAATAAATGTATAACACAGCCATGACAACGTTCCTCTTCCTGTGTTGTCAGGGAAGTCACTCTACCAAAGTGGAGGCAGTTGTGAGAACTCTGAAGAAGATTCAAGTGACCAACCCCGGGGCCAAATGTCTCGTCTTCTCCACGGTAACAGTTAACTATCCGCACTCTTCAAGACTTACTTTGGCGATATCGAGTTTGGATCTGACCTGTTTTGTTGCCTTTTCTCTTGTGCACAGTGGCAGAGTGTCCTGGACATCATCGCCAAGGCCTTGTTTGACAATAACATGGAGTTTTCTCAAATCAACGGGATTCACAAATTTCAGGTTTGAATTTGACACATAATGAATGCCACAATTTTTAATACACACCCCTGCTTTTTAACTTTTGTATTGTTTTGTTTTTTGTTGAAATACCACAGACTGCATGATAGATTTAAACATTTACAGTAAACCCCCTGTCTAAGGACTGTCTAAATACCTACCTGCTAGGTTTTCCTTGGTGTGTATTCTCCACCACCAGCAGCTAAAACAGCTGTTCGGCTTGCTGCTACACCTTGTTCTTCATTTGAGGTTGTTTTTGTTTTTTTGTTTTTATCTGAGATCACTCCCTTGAGAGCACACCAACCCTAAACTCAATATTTCTTCCTTTACCCCGGGCCGCATGTTTGTTTGTTTTTTGTGTGTGAGCTATACTGCCAACAAACAAAGAGGTTAATCAATTGGAGATGAATTCTTGCCTCTCATATGCAGAAACTTAATAACAATTAAGGTTTTTCTGTAGTAAAATACAATATAAAGACTAATGAATACATTCATTGTCTATGTTTTTGTGTAATACAAAGGAGAAACTGGATAAAATCGGCACGTTAAATAATTGTTTGAATTTGAAAATACACAGTATTTAAATTGCAGTATAAATTTTCAGGGAATCCTCGTTTTTTTCTTAAAATAAATCAATTACCGAAGCATCTCTTGATATAGATATGACTGTAATTTGTTCATTATTGCACTGTTCATTGTGGTTTTCCAGGAGAATCTAAGTTCCTTCAAGTACGAAGAGAAGATCAACATTCTTCTTCTACCTCTCCACACGGGCTCCAATGGGCTGAATATCATCGAAGCAACACACGTGCTGCTGGTTGAACCAATCCTCAACCCTGCTCATGAGCTCCAGGCAATAGGCAGAGTGCACCGGATTGGCCAAACCAAGTAAGGAGCAGGCAGTAAAGTGTGTCAGTAAACCTCTGAAGTTTCAGCATAACTTTGTGGGTCCTTTAGAGCTTTGTGTAGATGTGTTGCTGCATCTACACGAAGCTTCTGCATTTTTCTCATCTTGTGAGAATTGACTTCAAAGCTGCAGTTTTTTTTTTTTTCTTAGATTCATGTTTAATACGAGTGCAACCTCCAGTTATTTAATAAAACTATAAATCCACAACTACGCAGCTTATAATATGTCAGAAAATAAAGCACTTAGAGTTCAGCAGGATACACTGAAATTGATTTCATTCGTTTTTTGTTTTTACTCACCACTGTGCTCAGGGATACGCAGTTCTTGACCAAAGTGCACTTATATAGCATGCACACCTCTGTCAGTGCTGTACACACATCATTATTCACTGCTTGTAGTTACAGATCTGCATCAGAATGCACAAATGCATGTAAATTAAATCCAACTAAGATTACTTTTTTTTTTCATTTAGGAGCAGTTAAAGTCTGACAAAGGAATGACAATGTGGAGAATTTGTTAATCCTTTTATCCAAATAATATTTATATTAAATTATCCACCCTCTACTGAACAAAAAACTAAACAAATGCTCATTTTTGTTTCCTCTCTCCACCAGGCCAACATTTGTTCACAGATTCCTCATCAAATCTACAATTGAAGAGAGAATGCAAGCAATGCTGAAGACGGCAGAAAAAAGGTGCGTGTCAGTTCTTAATGATGCTATTTTTGTATTTAAATACAAGTTTAAGAGGTCAGGGGATACGCTGTTGTCATAGTACCAATAAAAGTCTTTTTGATTCCAGTCACACCAGCACAGCCATGAAGCACTCGGAGGCTGCGGTACTGACAGTCGCTGACTTGGCTGATCTGTTCACTGAAGACACTGAACCTCTGGAGTGAATCTCAGCACTGGGCTCCTCACTTGGTACATACCAAGTAAAGCAAACAGGAGAAAAAGGGAGTTCACGATTTACACAGCGGTGACAAATTTTGCACATTCCACTTTTTTTATATAAGCATCCTGATGTTATGAAACGAATTTCCAAAAACTATTTTAAGAAATCTCTGATGGATGATGACTACAAATTTCTTACTTGTTGAATTTTAACTCAATTTAGAGCTGATGCATTTGCATCACTTGTCATAGTTGTATCTTACTGGTCCAACTTGTTCAGCTGTGTTTGTTTATCGCATTTAGTCAGGTGTGTTCATTTATGTGCAACTTCACTGTATCTCCAGATGGACTGAACCACTTTGAGGCATTCTCACAACATTCAGGAAATATAAGTCTGTGAGTGACGGGTCGTCCGCCTGTTATTGCCAGATTTCTTTGTGCCGTCCTTTTACTGTGTGGTTAAAAAAATGAAGCAGGAAGGACGCCATTGATTTGTGCTCACCTCTGACATAAACTCACTTTTACTCTTTTACAACTGAAGTGAAAGACTGTCGCGGGATTTCTTCGGCCGGGCAATCGACCTTAAGTTATTTCACTGTTGAAACAAAGCCACACAGTTTGGTCTAACAATGGCGCCCATCTTATTTGCAAGACAAAAAGAAGCACAATGTGCAGATTGTTGGAAACTAATCTTGTAAATCAGACTTGTAAAAATTGTGTGAAGATGTTTTGTGCTTTACAGCAACTGTCTCATTCTTTTCTATTCCTCAAAATCGTCTGGTCAAGCTTAAGAATCGTGTGGATTAATTAAATGTTACTTGTCTTAAACTGATTAAAATAATCATTCCTCTCTTGTATTTTATGGTCTCTTCTGCCACACACATGCACTCACTGGTACTTGGCATTGTTAGCGAATTGCCCTTGACTTGTAATGCGTTTTCTTTTCACCTGACTGACTGCGATTCCCGTACTTGTAAAGATTTTAAGATGTCCAGACAACAAAGAGGGACAGCCTCGTGCTGGTGTTCCTTTTTACATGGTTACCAGACTTCTTGTTAGTCTGTGTAGTAAGAAACGGTCATAAGATGTTTACTAAGAGAACGTCGCCACAGTAGGCGGTGACATGCGTGTTACCTTGGACTCCCCCGGTTCCCCCTATTCATGCGTGGAATCTCATTGTTGTTGGGGGCATCATTCAAGCTGGTGTTTTTAGGGCTTGAGGGAGGGCCGCAGTTCTTTAGTTTTCAAGGGGCTGGAGTAAGAGAGGGGTACTACATTTTCTGGTGTCAGACTGTGGTGAATAGCTCCCAGAAGATTCACAGAGTGTCAGAGAAGGAGCCAAAAGGTAGTGGAGTGGCTGAGCTACCAGAAAGCAGAGGGAAGATGGCATCTGCCAGTTTGGTTTTTGTCTGGCTACTGCTCACCATGAGGATGGTTACCTCGGCAGTCTATCTGGAGCCTGAGGAGGAGGGTGAGCACACGTTTCACAGCTCACAAATCTGGGGATGAACAAAAAACAAACTGATTATTGATTAGCATGTTTTGTTTTGTTTTACTGGCTGCAATAATTGTAAAAAGGTTCTAACTCAAGAGAGGAGGATTTAGTCCAAGTCCAGTGAAAGCTGGAGTATAACTGGTGCCTCCTTTGGCAAAAGCTGTATGCCTTGACATTAAATGCAGTGACGGGTTTCAACCACATTCAGGTCTTGACTGTCTGAAAATGATTGAGGCTAATTTTTTAAGAAAAGTATATAGAAAATGACCTGTAAATACATACATAATGCTCAAAAGTACTGAGTCATAGTATAACTTTCAACAAAAGAGGAAAATAATCATTCTAAAGCTAATATTTGGATATTGTTGGTTTGGTTGATTTACTTATTGGTGGCTACACTGTTGGTCCGCTACATGTGCTGAGTGGTTAAATAGTAATATACCTGTTTATAGGTGCCGAGTGTAAAATGTGACTGATAAAATAACTGTTTGTTTTTTTTACTGTTAGAACTTAATGAAACTGTCATTTGCACCAACGACCGTATGGAGCTTGTTATTCCAAGCACTTTTTTTCTCAACAAAGTTCCTCCTGTTTACGTAAGTCATCACTGACCAGTCATTAATAATGCCAAAAAGCACTGTGTCATTTTGAGTAATTATTACATATTTGTCTCTATTTGCTTTGTGTCTTCTCTTTTAAGGCTTGGGATTTGCATTTAAATGATCCGGAGTGCCGTGGTGATGTAGTCGGAGAGGACTATGTTTTCAGCATTAAGACAAATCTGTCAGATTGCGGCACTATAATGGTATGATCCATCTTTGATTTGCCTAGGATTGCTCCTTCAGGTGATCTTTTAAGAGTGAACTCAGATATTAAATTCAGGTAAATCTGATAAGAAGACAAGTTACTCTTTACTACCTCCATTAATGTTAAGAGAATTCTCTTCATAATGAATTAAAGGGTCTACAGGTGCTGCAGGAATATCTTCAGATCCATGATCCATCACCTTCTTTCTACTGTGTTGTGAATGTGGACTATGAGGCTCTGTGTTCAGATTTTGTATGGAAATTAGCTCATAGCAAGTATAATAGATGGACAGAGAAAGGCACACACGCTGAACCCAGAGAGACGGGAAGGAAGAGAAAAGAAGGGGAGGAGTGGCATTTCTTCAAGAAAGAGGGACAGAGCTGTTCTTTTTGCCTATAACAGGACAGGGCCTCATTTAAAGCATCAATGGGACTCTGAATGGCCTTGTATTTCTTATTTATCAGCATTCACGTGGGCAATGAGGCTCACGGTTATTTTAATCCAGCTGCTCTACACTGAAAGTCAGCCACTGCTTAACACATAAGTGTCCTTTAAATCCTTGGAATGCTTTAAAATTTTTCTTGTAAACCACCTAAAAGGTTAACACAGCTTTCAGCAGTTCTCTCAGTACTCAATTTCTGCGATTTACAAGGTTTTTGCACAGAAGCTGAGGAAAGTATGTATGCTCTGAAGGAAAAAGGGCTGTTGCTAAAGGAGAAGAATGTCACAGCTGTCAGTCATGCTTTCACCTTGACCGTAGCACCTTTTACACCCTGCCGTCAGAGACGCCACGTTTACAGTTTCCTCGCTGACATTTCAGTGATGGTTCTGGATGTATAAGACTCAGAGCCTTCGTGATAAGTGCACGTAGCAGTGGGGGGTTATGTAGTTTGCTGCGAGATCTGTCAGTGGTCCTCTCATTGAGGCTGCCCCAGGGGAGCAATTGAGTGTTTACCAAGAAGTAGTAAAAAATGTTCAACTGTTAGAGGTAAAGACAGTTTGTCCTGCTTTGTAACCATGGTCACCACCCTGCATCTCAACAGGGACCTGCAGAAACTTCACACACCAGCTTTTCACCTGTTCCCATTTTATGGTTTATTTTAAAAGGATGGTGACAGCTGAATAAGAGTATTTAATCCCAGTGACTCAACCTAACTTTAACTTAATCTCTGTATTATTATAGGTTGTTTACATTACAGTATAAAGCACCTTGATCTAACTGTTATGTGATTTGGCACCATATGAATGAAACTGAATTGAATTAAAAAATTAATGTGGTGATGCTAGCAAATCCACTTTGCCAGTATTCATATATACCACAGTAGAGTTTATGTATTGTTAAATGTTAAGTTGGACTGGTACTTATATAGCACCTTTCTACTCAGTTGAACACTTAAAGCACTTTCTAATACAAGTCTCTTTCACTCAGTTACACAAACATCCACACAGTGCTTTTATCTATGCCTAAGTGCTTTCTAACATTCACACACACTTGTACCCTGATGAATATGGTGGCATGGTGGCAACTGAGGGTTCAGTATCTTTCCCAAGGATACTTTAACATGCAGACTAAAGGCCGCCCAACCTGCATTATGTTAGACTCGTGTGTATATATGTCTTTTATGATGTCGCAATCCAGACATTAGTTAGACAAAGGCATCAAACTTAACTAAACTTCTAAACTTTCATAAAAGACATTCTCTTAAGATCTCCACTATTTAATCAGCCCATCACTTAATTTCTATTCCAGGTTTCTGCAGTTGTTCTTACCTAAAACAGCATTATTGATTTCTATTTCTATAAAAATCTAAAAAGTAACGGTAAAGTAAACAAGCTACATTTCCCCTCACTGACCATCACACATGCTATGTTCTCTCCATAGGCCTCAGATGACACACACATGGTGTTCATAAACACCATACACAACAACTACTCAGATATTATCACAAGAAACTACATCAACATAACATTTGCGTGCCGCTACCCCATCAACTACATGGTCCAACAGCCCAACGGAGAAAACATGATCAGAGTGGACATCAGGTAAATGTTTTCTTCTTTTCTGACTTTTCTCCAACTGGAGAATGATTTGTTCTCAACATTTGGCCTATTTTAATAAACCCATTGCCTCTGTAGACCTATCACTCTGAACACTGAGGATGGGAATTTCTCAGTGTCAATGCTGCTGTACAAAGACGAAGCCTTTGAGGACAGGTGGACCACTGTGCCATCGCTGACTCTGGAGGATAACATCTTTGTAAAAGTTTTCATGGTAAATCGCAGTGAAATGTCAGTTTAGTATATTTTTCACCTCCAAATAGTAAAGATGTAGTTCTCACCTTAACAAGCTGTATTATATATTTGCAAATTGGAACGATGCACAAAAGCAATATGTTGTATTTGCATTTGATTGGCAGGATAAGTATATCTGTTAATATCTAACAGGGATTATATATACTTGGCTCTGACTGTTAAGCATTCAAAGTGTTGTTAATATTCACAGCTATTTTTGAGTTAGTTTGGGTGTGCTCTTACACAAGGTTAAGCAATATGTTTTGTGGGTAGTTTTCCAACCAGTGCTGGAAATCTAACACTCCACCCATGACTAGACAGTCATTTGAGTCCTCTTTCGTGCTGTTATAATCTCTTGGTACACCTGTTGTTTACTTACTATGAGTCATCATTTTGTTGTGCGTTATGGAAAACTGTTTGTCCTGTTTAAGGAATTAATTGACCGTTGCCGAACTCTGTCTGTGTCACAGATACCTTCTCATCTGCAGCTGCGTATGGAGAGATGTTGGGCTACGCCGACCAGTGATCCATACAGCAATATTCAGTACACCTTCATCGCAGACAGGTCCGCCTCTGGACTGTTTAAACTGAATGCAGATGAAAATGCATGATTGCCATGTTTACACCACATACTTTGAAGGTGTGGAAGCTTGTTTATGGCGTTCTCCGTGGCTGTGTTGTTTCACCACATTAGCAAACAGTTCCACCTCCTCCTACTGTTGAAATCTGAAATAAGAGAGTTTGTTGCATAGAGAGCTGTCCAGACAACAAATCTCACAGGCTGGTCATGTGACTCCTGGCTGAGAGGCCACATGCATTTCACTTCAACAGCTGTGCATGCCCTTGACAACCAGGCAGTATTTGGTACTGTTGGCAACAGCAGAGTTATGAAATGCACCAAGATTTCTCAGAGCTAAAGAGATGAAAGCACTCAAACACTTCTGTGTTGTATCACCTCAAGTTATGTTTGCATTTTTTTTATTAGCTGTTTCTCCTTTTGTTATATTTAAAGTGCAGCATCGTGTTTCATTGCTATCAGCAGGCCTCTTAGACTTGTCTCCTTCCCTCTAGCTGTCCAGTGTTGACCAACGACCAGACTCTGAGCGTGCTGAAGAACGGTCAGGGCCCAGAGGCCACGTTCAGGATACAAATGTTTAAGTTTGTCGGCAGCTCTTATACCAACGTCTTCCTTCACTGCAACGTCCAGATTTGCCACAGTGGTCCCGGTCTGTGTCAGCCTGTGAGTGACCTCATGCTGCACCCATTCCTCAAACTGATAGTCAGGAGCCAGTTCAGACAAGTAGCCTGCTATATGTCACCAATATAGACCCGTCAGCCTAGGAGTGGTTTTCAGCCATATGAGCTGCCATCATTTTAAATATACAGTGCTTATGACTGTATATTTGACTGCTTATGTTGGTTTTTAAATTTCACATTTCACTCGTGTATTTGCCAAACAGAACTGTTCCGGTGAAGATGGATTACTGAGAACACGGAGAGAAATACCACTGTCCCGTACAGTGTCTTACGGACCCATAAGACGACTATTAAACCCCAGTGAAAATCCCAGTCTAGGTATGTTTAATTCAGTCTATGCAGTTAATATAGTTTAACTTCATAGTTTAAAGATTCCAGACACTGTAAGCAGTTCATAAGCATGCAAACCCACCTGTGTGTAGATGCAGGAGGAGTCCCAGCTGTGGAGACCTTTGTCCTCGGAGGACTGCTGCTTGTCTTGCTGCTGGTAACAGGAGTCTTTGGGGGGTTGTGGCTTCGCTCCAGACATTTCTACCCAGCACGGGAAGCACAGCTTACCCTGTCCAACATTCATCACATCTCAGAAGTGGCCTCATGAATTGTATGGACTTTATAGAATTAGTAAATGGACACAGGAAAACATACGTACACGCGTTTTTATAATAATGTTATATGTTTTGTGTATTATGCTCATTAGAAAAAAAATTTGTTTGATTTGTAAAAAGCTGTGGGTAATAAACATTTCTCTTAAACACATTCCTGATATTAAGATACTTGTGCTTTATGTCATTATTTTTATTTTGTGCTACTTAATTCAACTGCTGTATACCATTTGTATTTTCACTGAAGTAAATTCTTTCTTGCATGTGTGGCTTTTACTCAAAAAGCAACTCTAGTACCTTTTCAATTGAATATGATCCAGAGCAACAAAACAAAAAACATGCCCGAACATTTAATGTTTTACTTTTATGTTATATGACACACAAATATGCTGCTCAGTTTTGGGTCACATGGTTTTAGTTTTAACATGTGACCCAAATAGCAGATGTAAATAAAACAATGTTCTTAAATTAATCATGTTTAATCGTGTTTCACGTTTAATGAAAATGGATGTGAATTTGCTGTTAATGCTTCCTGGATATGACATGAACAGTAATCAGACTTATTTATGATAGGATAAGTTATAATTTTACCCCAGTCTTTTTATCTTTATGTATAAAAATGTAATTAGTCTTTCTGAGTTTTTTAAGCATCCTCTGATTTTTACTTGTATGCCTACATACAGTACCATGCAAAAGTCTAGAGCCACCACTCATTTCTTTATGTTTTTGCTGTGAAAATGGGAAATAGATTAAACTAATTATGAATCATGCACAAACACACATAGAAATGCAGCATATAAGTATTCTGTATGCAGTGTACCTCTCCTGCCCTCCTCCCACACATACTGATTTTGATTCACCACACTATCAGACTTGTTGCCACTGATTTTCAGTCAAGTTGTTGTGAAAGTTTGCATACCTCAGCCTTTTATTCCAGTTTACCTCCATAAGAATGGTTTCTTCACAGCCACCCTTCCACTAGGACCATGTCTAATGATGATTTGGTGCATAGTAGAGTTAGATGCATCTCTCAGGTCTTTAATAAGCTTTTTCCTCTTTCTTAAAGCCATAACTTTCCGATTCTGTGCCAATTCTGTGCCAGCTGCAGACAGATTTTATACCTGACACTTCTTCTGTTGTCCTCCATTTGTCCAGTTTCCTTAAGTTTTTTTTAAGGACACACCGCACACCATGCTGTCTAGATAGATATGAGCTATGATATGAGCTACGTTTTCAGTTAATGGCTCTTTGGGAATCACCTTGTTGGTTCAACAGTAGTATTTTATGCCCATTATCATGTTGTCTTTGATTTTCTGTAGATTCAAAAAAGAAATTGGAACAAATTATGTGTTTTTGCCACAGGCTTCTAGTAACGAAGTGTGTCAGAACAATGGTTCACTCCTTGAGTTAAGTGCCTTGTCATGCCGGTATGATTCATAGGTCAGTGTTAAGTAGCTTAACAAAAATAAAAACATTCCTCTGAAAATTAGTGAAAAGGCAACAAATGTCCAAAGAAATACTTTGAAAGACCTTTAGAAAGCCAGAAAAACTATTGCTCGAGACCACTTAAAAAATGACAGGAAACTGTCTCCTTGGAAGGAAAATATTAATTAAGGGTAGCTAATTAATATTATCTCGGGAGTCTATTCCCATTAAATTTCCCAGACTGCATCATAAGCACCCTAATAGTGATTATAGATGTAAAACTGCCCTCGGGGGTTTTCCCACTCTGTTTATTTCAGTGCTCTCAGGTCTGCCTCCATAAACCTAAATATGACCGGGACACCGGCCGGTTTACGTGATGACGTAGTACTGCGCCGCAGTATCAGGATCAACATAACTCCGACTGACCCCGAGCAGCGAGGAAGCAGCTGCAGCCTGTTCAATTCATAAGAAGATTTAAACACATTTAATACCGCGGGGTGTTTGTGTAGTCACAGTTTCCGTACTGCAGGCATCGACGGAGCTGTTAAAAGTTAGACAATATAAATAAAGCACACTCGGAGAGCCCAGCGACTCGGGTAAGTTGTTTGTAGAAGCTGTGAGCTAGCTAACTAATTAGGCTAACAAAGTGTAGCCGCTAACGCTAACCGGCTAGTCATGTTGTTGATGTTCTTTTGTTTACTTATTAAGATTTTTAAAGTTTTGTGACTTAGCTTGTCATTCTTTAACTTTATACATTGACACGTAAATGCATACTTGCCAAGCTGCAATTGGATGTTGTTAACATTTAATCTGTTGATGGATTGATGTGTTAGGAGTTGTTGCTGTGTTTTTGTTTGTGTTTTTAGCCAGTTGTGCTTGCGTAATTTAGACAGCGGTCGCCGGCCAAGGCATTAAAGACTTGAATAATAGCTCTTCTTTGTTGCACTGCATTGTTAGGGCTTGCAGCATTGTTGTGGGTCTTTAATATGATTGTTGTCCTCTTAGCTTGCGTTCATTATCCCACAAATCCCCTACACAAGCAGCATGACCAAATAAGCCCGGCGTTATAATTCAGAAGTATTTTGGTGGCTGTGTTGCACCCGGTTGGCAGGTTGAATTGTTCGCTGTTCTTGTTTTACTTGTTACCAGAATTCCTTGAAAAACTGAGGCAAGTTACAGGGCCTAAAGGTCAGGGTTCAGGCTTGCCTTGAAAGTCCTGGAAAAACTGGTGTGACCATGAAACCTAAGATGGGTGTTGTGAAATGTTACTGAATAGCGTAAAGGTTTACAGTGCATGTGGAGGGAATCGGTGACAGGGCTTTTTGAAGGCACATGTGTGCTATTAAATGGTTGCATAGATGGTATAATGTAACCCTAGACATGTTTTGTTCCAGCTAAACCTAAAAACAGGGGTGTTACCATGACGTGTGAGATTTCTCAACAAAATAAATCTATTTATCATTTTGTTTCAGGGTTGGACACCTTCTCCAGCTATCATTAGGGAAAAAAATGGAGACTCTACACCCCCACTGCCTTAAATGCATCAATAGAAGATGCATGGTGAGACCAGAGACAGGTGTTTCCTGTGACCTCATTGGCTGTCCTCTTGTCTGTGGGGCAGTTTTTCACTCGTGCAAACTAGAGGAACATCGTCTGCTGTGTCCCTATGAACGCCTCCCTTGCCTCAACAGTGGGTTTGGCTGCCCTTTCACTATTGCAAGGGTCAGGATGGCACAACACCTTGAGACGTGTCCTGCAAGTATAGTATGTTGTACTATGGAGTGGAACCGCTGGCCCGTCAGCTATGCTGATCGCAAGTCCTATGAAAACTTGAGCAAAGACTTCGATGAGGTGGAGCAGTTAGACATGGCTTTGGCTCTGCAGGATCAAAGGATGCTGTTAGAGTCCCTTAAGGTCACGACCACTGTGTCGAAGAATGGAGGTAAAGAATTAGATGAAAGTGATAAAATGGCCACAGCATCAAGTTTACCAGAGACAGTGTTAGGTAATGCAACAGTGGAAATGGAGGAAGAGCCCTTTAATGAGCTGTACAGGGCTTCAGTGGAGACGAGGAGAAATTTAGCTGCTGCCTTGGACATCCTCACTAATTCCAAGGACATTAATGTAATTGTTGGAAACTTAAATGGCGAAAAGACTGATAAGAGTGGAGCACTCCATAATGGAGAAAATGGTGATAGCCATGGTATTTATGTTGCTGAAGGCGGGAAGAATGTAGATATGCAAGAAAGTGACTCTGATTCAGAGTGCGAGCTGGGAGCGGTGGGCGGAGTGGAGAGCGCTGCTATAGGCGATGGAGAAGAAGATGGTATCAACTGGGTTGAAGAAAATGATTTTGTTGAGTTGCTTTTTGATGAGAAGGAAGATGACATTGATGAACCGATAAATGATTCCAACCTTGTCTGGCCAGAGATGCCTCAGAATTACATGCCTGTTGTAGCACTGGAACCTCCTGTGCCTCAACAAGAACCACTTGCACCTCCAATGCCATTCCTACTGTCTGATCATGTGAGAAATAACTTCTTGCAACACTTACCCACTGAACTCAGGTACAGGTGCCTGGAGCGTAAGCTACAGAATGTAGAAGTGCTTAGAGGAATAAGTATGTTTACATTTAATGGACGTCGGGCCCTGCTGTCAGATCCTTATTTGTTTCGAGCGAAGATGGAGGACAAGGCAGTTGACACATCTGACCTGGAGGTAGCAGATGACCCCATGGGCCTCCATGGCATTGACCTTATCACTGCAGCTTTGCTTTTTTGCCTTGGCGATTCTCCAGGAGGCAGAGGAATCTCAGACAGCAGGTTTGTTGATGGCTACCACATTGATTTTGGTACGCAAACATTCTCCTTCCCTTCTGCCATTCTTGCAACCAACACCATGGTGGGGGATATTGCTTCAGCTTCAGCCTGCGATCACGCCAGTCCACAGCTTTCCAACCCCAGCCCCTTCCACACTCTTAGACTGGACCTAGTGCTTGAATGTGTGGCCCGATACCAAACCAAACAGCGCTCCATGTTCACATTTGTGTGTGGGCAGCTGTTCCGACGAGATGAATTCTCATCTCATTTCAAAAATGTTCATGGAGATATTCATGCTGGACTCAATGGCTGGATGGAGCAGCGCTGCCCCTTGGCCTACTACGGCTGCACCTACTCCCAAAGACGATTTTGTCCATCTGTTCAGGGCTTCCGGATCATCCACGACAGGCACCTGGGTTCTTTCGGGGTGCAGCCTGGTTTGCCATTGAAAACTGGGGACACGCGCCTAAGAAAGAACTGCCAGTTTAGCTCTCAGTGTGACCAGTTCAGCAGTCTTCCATTTGAAATTTTGCAGCACATAGCAAGTTTTCTGGACAGCTTTAGCTTGTGCCAGCTCTCCAGAGTGTCCCGCATCATGAGAGATGTGTGTGCCAGCCTGCTGCAGATGCGTGGCATGGTTGTTCTGCTGTGGGAGAAGAAACGGCGTGCTGATGGGTCTCCCTCATGGCAGATCACAAACAAGGTTTGTCCACTTGCACACTCTTTAAAGACAGCTGAGAGCAAATTTCACTTGTCTGTCTTGTGCTCAGCACATGAAAATAAACAAATTTTCCTATTTCTGTTCAGGTGTGGCGATTCAGCACAGCCTTTGGTACAGTGAACGAGTGGAAATTTGCAAACATCGCCAGCATGGCTGATCACCTCAAGAAATGCAAATTTAACACAATTTCTCGTCGGGAGGAGGCGATCCCTCTGCCATGCATGTGTTTCACCAGAGAGCTCACAAAGGAAGGGAGGTGTTTACGTTCAGTTCTCAAACCAGTAGCATAAACAGTGAGGTCATCCTTCAGACTCCTCTGGGTCCTACAGAACTCAAATGCACATTTTTCCTCCAGTGTTTACAGACATTACGACTCTTCCGGCCTCAGAAAGACAACTCCTGGTTGAACTTTACCTGTGGTTCTCTGCTACACAGTGGAAACAGTCTTCAATCCCTCAAATAAGACAAAGCCAGTAGTGAGCTGGCATATACTTCAGCTGAGGCTGACCTGCTGCAGTCACACATCAGGACTATAAAAAAGCAAATCGAAGTTCTAGCGTTGTATCTTCCTCTCTGATATTAATCCTGGTGTACTGAAGTTGTATCTTTACCTACTCTGACACTGTGTAAATATCGAATGTTTTTGGTGTAGAATTTTTAAACAATTTTTTATATCAAAAAGTCAGTACCGTGCTTCACTGGTAAGAGTAGAGCCTTAACTTGAGATACACTTGATTTTTCTCGCCATGAGGTCGTTCAGAACATCTGTGAGATTTCTCCACTGCTTCACGCTAGAACAGTTACTGCTACCTAGAACGCTTTGACATCTTCTTTAGATACTTACTGTGACCATGTGTGTACTGCTTAGAACTCAGATTTCACAGCGTTAATTCTACATTTTCACATTGACCAAACGTCTGTGCTCCACTTTACAGGATTATTGAACTGCACCAGCATGAGCATGCTCACACCTTTTTTTTTTTTTTGGCATGTTTTAGCAGTCACAACAGTGGTCCACCCTCAACTTTTTTTCACACTTCTGACTAAGAGGCGGCTTTGTTAGTCAGGGTACAGAGACATGAAGCAACCCTATTTACCAGTTGAGTGTCAGTACTAATTTTTTTTTCTGTTTGTTTTTTAAGCCACGGTTGGCTTGTGGTTTTTTTTTACCAGCTATTTTGACAAGTAACCAGCAATTATTTAGAGGTTCTTTTCTTCAAAAATCTAAATGTAGCGAAGTCAAATAATGAATGTACCTGGTGAATCATCAGTGACTGGTTAGCAGGAAGCGTGGTTTCCTTCCCCTCAGTGTCAGACCTCAACAAATCCTGCAGGCCAGGTTCTAGGAAAAATAACGGGCACACACTTCCCTCCTTTAATAAGCACCATTAACTATGTTCATATTCACTATTTATCATGGTTTTCAAGTTGTTTTTTTCTTTTTGGCACTACATGTCCGCTATTTTCACGTATTGTTGGTGTCTCAGGGTCGTATCATGAAGCTTCGTCTCACCGTAGTGTATTTGAGAAAATTGCTGAAAATGCCACGACAGCTGGTCAGCTGCTTTATTATTACAGGATCCGTGGGGAACTGTTTCAGTATTATAGTGGTGTGAGTTGCAGTGCTGAAATAACATGGTTTTCATGTTTATCAGTAAGGTTTTGTTTGGTTTTTTTAAACGTATAAATCTTCGTGATTGGGCTTGTTGAACAATTTATTTATTTTTTTGTCTGAATTAAGAAATTTGATGTAACAAAACTTGTAGTTCCCATATATAGAAAGAAATCTTCAAAAACTTTTTGAAACTGGTTTAAAATGACAGACATGTCATTAGTTAGTGATGAAATATGGGTATGGTGTGTGTTTCTTTTTCTTTTGGATGTAGGAAAGCCCAAGCTGTGTCAAAACTAAACTGTCTTTTTCAGTTTGTGTGATTTCTTTTTTTTTTTTCTTCGTTTTTTTTGTACTGGTACATTTATTATTTTTTTGTTTTGTTTTAAGAAATGCAAGTCTGCCTCTGTTAGGTCTGGATTTGAATTACTGATTTGCACATGACGGCATGTACTGTAAAATTTAAATCCTAAATCTGACAGGTTGTCTTTGTTGAAGCAGCAAGAATGCTACTCCTTCCTGTTCTGCATGTAATGAGTCCAGTTACAGGCTAATTTATACAGTTTGTTTCTCAGGCACCACGCATTAATATTAGTACATTTTATGTCCTTTCTTATATTATAGAAAGAGAGACAGAAAGAATGAAATCAACAAAACCTGATGAGATGCACTAACTCTTTGGCGTTCAAGTTGTCAGAGTGAGTTGAATGAGGAACTGAGCATGCAAATCAGGCTTTTATTCTGTGGATGTTCATGCATGTAAGAGGTCTCCAGATCACTTTTTGTTTTGCAGTCTTTGCACCTGGAGTGTATCTGTATTTTGATCAGTATTTTGGGTTAAATTATCACTGCTGATGGGTTTTTTTTCTTTTCTTTTGTTTTGTTTGTTTTGTTTTTTTCACCACAGTATGCCAACTTCATTTGTTTGACTTTTGGTCCATTTTAATAAAGAGACTCTTGAGTTCTTAAATGTTTCGACTTTTAATCTTTTTCAGTATCTATCAGAGGTATGTCTGTATATTTAGATCAGGTGTACACTAACAGATGTTCTCTTCAGACCCACTTAGTCTACATATGATTGGTTCAAAAGCCATTTCAAACTGTACTCTAATATCTTTGTGTTTTATTCCTTCGTTTTGACCCATTGCAAAGGCAGAAGAATATAAATAGGACACATTGTCTTCTTTTAGTGCCAGCAAAGTCTTGAGAGATTTAATACAGTGTCTGTTAAACTGGGAAAACAATAATACAGCATTTGTGAAATAATATTTCCCTCACCGCTAGATGGCACCACATAAACAGACCTTCACCATCAGGGGTGCGAAACCGTCCACACAGGAAATATAAATAGGCCTCTTGGTACATAACATCTTCCACTGCGATGATGAGCCAGGATGTGATTTAGCTGTTGGTCCCCGGTTGGTGGGTTTTGATTCAAGATAAGAATGAAGAGAAAATAAAGTATAAAAGTCCTCATCATTGACTTCGTTTCAAATATTTGAATAAAAGCGTCACTGAAGAATGGCAATGATGAAAGCTTCTTCACGTGCATGTTACTTTGCAATTACGTCTCCTTTTGTTACAGCATTTGTAAATCTGTTAGAAAACATCAACTACTGCTTTTTTAGGGGCTTTTGAATATTTAAATATTAATATCTGCTACTGTACTGCCGTTTTGTTTGCATTTGGACCACACTGTGTAATCAAATACCTGTTAAGTCTCAAATCTATAGTGAGGCAGTGAGGCGTGCCCCTTGTATCCAAAATCTCTCTTAGTTTCTTAGCTGAACCAGAGTACATGCGTGGTAAGAAAAAAACAGACCAAACAATGGCTTCGCAACAGGAATCTCAAAGGAAGGTGACAATTATTACTGTGGGAGCTTAAGTGCAGAAAGGCTGACCATGAAGAGTGAAGTCGTCCTGAAGTGCATAAGACTGCACGCATTTCCTCCAAACATCGGTTAAAACTTCCGTTTTTACCAGGAGTGGGGTTCGAACCCACGAGGACTATTGTCCATTGGATCTTAAGTCCAACGCCTTAACCACTCGGCCATCCTGGTGAGTGCACGTGCACAGTCAGCGCATGGCTCACATCAGATAAAGCCGTGTGACTCCAGCACGCACAGCTACCAGAGGCGTGACGCCACAGTTCAAATAAACGCGCTCTTGTCGGTAAATGCCCCCAGTAGAAACCGCACAGCACTGCTGAGGAAGTGCAATCATTGCAGCCCTGAAACTCATTTCAACACAGAGTAGAGGCAGTTAAGTCTGAAAACTCCCACAGGTACACAGCAGTCTGAGTCACAACACCCTCAGTTTACCAGCTGATGACTGGGATTCCCCCAGTGAGGGATGGGCTGGCCCAGAGGCACGGGGAAATAAGGGTTTTTAAATTTTACTACCATCACAAAGGGCAGTGAGATAGGCCTCCTGTGCAAACAGAAAGTCCTCTGACCTGTTTAGTTTGCCATTCTGTTCTGTTTCTCCTGTAACATTACCTGTGCAAACACCGCATTAAGTCAGGCAAACTGCCCTGTTAAAGAGATTTCACTGGCTTTGGTGACGTTGGTTGTCTGGCAGTGATAAACAAAATCATTGACTTTCTAAAGTGGAGCTGACACACAGATATTTGTGTGTTTGTGTTTTTTTATGTGAAGCAACACGTGGAGGAAAAGCACAGCCTTGGCTTGTAGCTGGTGATGATATACATGGGGGTGGCTAACATATAGTTGCACAATCCTCACAAATCTAACTTGCCTCCCCAGCTAACCACAATTGCTGGTTGAGCTGTGATCAGTGTTTCTACACACTTGTGAAGCAATGGTTGCAATAAGAAACACGTCTATAGCAAGTACCGTTTCCAAGCTTAGCTGTAGATGCACATTCAAGTTGTCCAAATATAGCCACTCCAAGGCATTTATTTATAAATAAAATCATACTTTATGGGCTTAAATATTGCAGACTGTACAAAGCTAAAAGTTAAACAAAGCTGCAAGCCACATGAAATAATAATTTCGATGTTTTTACAGCAGTCGTGTATGCATAAGCTGCTCTCAGTAGCAATCAGGAAATGTACCATCATCGCACTGTATATATTTGCATATGTGCATGTGGTTTGAATCACTCTGACTAGTTGGTATCAACTCAATAAAGAAAATGATACCAGAATGTGATATCTGGACACATCTAGAGCAGCAAAAAGCTTTCATGTGGAAACATTTGCAGAGAAAGCGGATTTGAATCAAATGTTCTGGTAGGGGGCGGGAACTGGTGGCGCCTCATTTACAGCATGGGAAACAACAACAAAACAGCTTCTTGCATGGATTGCTTTTCTTGTATTTCACAGCCTGCTTGATCTGCGCTGAAGCTTTGGCTACATAGTCCTCTGTTGCCCCTACATTTGCTTCTATGTTGTCCAGCATGCAGCCCTGCTGCTCCACCAGCATCGCCATCTGGAAAAAAAGGTCATGAATGTCCCTAATGCGGCCCTCCAGCTCCAGCAGCTCCTTGTGCCTGTTCTCAATCTCGTTGAGAGCAGATCTGGCAGTCCTCCCTTCCAGCAGGAGATTATCTGAGAAGACGTTCCACTTGCCCGTCTCAGTCATCTCGTCTATCTGCTCCCTGGTTACCTCCTTGCCCATGATCTCTGCTTGCCTCTGGATGCGGGTTTTGCAATTCTCCCTTTGCGCCATTTCAGCCTCATTGTATTCAGACATGGCACTGTGGAAGGCGCTGGTCAAAGACACATACTGCGAGCGCACCATGCGAGCCAAAGCTGATGTAACTCCGTGGTCTTCCTCCAGCTCCTTGCTCAGCTTCCCCATTTTTTCCAGCTTTTTATAAATGGACTCCCCTCTGGCCTTGATGTCTCGTCCCAGTGCGTTGGAGTCCCGCTTGATGCTGCTGATCCTCCTGACTGATGTGAGGAACCTGGTGTTCTGCTTCCCCAGACGTTTCACATCCATTCTGAGCAATTGGATCTCCTTCCTCATCGCTTGGGCATCCTTGTAGATGCCATCCATCATGTCCTCACCCTCAAACACAATGGCGTGTTGCTCGAGAGGCTCCTCATCCTCACCGGCGAGTCTCTCGTTCTCCGTGGGCTTGTACTCCTGCTCTGCAGGCGTGAAGGCCTGCAGCTCAGTCAGTCGGTCCTTCATCTTACCTGCAAGAGTCACAGACATTTATTCACCTCGCTAATGGAATTGTGGGAAACGCACTCTTTACTCTGTGGTGAAGAACTAGATAAAAAACTAATATCAAAAATTCTTACAACTTTATTTTGCTGGCTTTGCTCCTCTTCATCTTATTTCCTGTCACATGTATACTGTTCATATTAAACATAGCAGAAGTTTCAAATAGTGAGGTCAGCACATGCAAGAAAACAACCAGGCTTTGGACTGTTGTTTCTACTTTCAGCTCTATATGATGTCACTTTTTACATTTACTTTTTACATATATCCTTAACATGGTCATCTCAGGCACACAGCTCTCTGGCCTTGAGCACAGAAGCCCCACCCATCTGTATTCAAGCCCTCTGTTTTCAGCTAATCAGAAGAAAATTGGAGTAAAGGTCGGTGGCCATAAAGAGAGAGGACTTAAAATGACTTATTTGACACGTTAACTTAAATGTTTGAGATTATTCTGAAATGTGAATCACGCAAAGCTACACAAGTTAAGTTACAGTTTTTTTTAATGTGTGGAAAACCTCCGGTCCCTTACAGAATGAAACTGGATATTGGATAGCAAATAAGATGGGTCATGTTCTTTGGTCATTTCCTTTCAATGTTGCACTGAAACCTCCTGTTAACAGAGAGAAGGAGGGGCTGATATCACACTGAGTTCTTCTTTTGATATGTTATTATTAACATTAAGGCACAAATGTTAAGTCTCACTTTTAGATAACGATAACAGCTTTTGATGTACAATCCAAGGTGGCTGTAGGTCAGTGAAAAATCCTCAAAAGCAAACTGGTGAGTTACTTCCTCAGCTGTATCACTCTCATCATCATGAGATAGAAGTTATTTTAAAAGTTCCTGTCCTTCAGGAAGCGGTTATTTCCTGCTAAACCAATCCATTCCTGAGGTGCACTGTGATGTAGATAATGTTAAAAATCCTCACTAAAGTGAAAAAACCACATCAGAGAAGCGCAAAGCATCCTCTCCCGTGATAAGGTGAGATCGGGAGGAAACAGAATAGCTCGAAAGCAATCTTTTGATACAGAAATCGACCTGTATGATACAATACACCTATGTATCGATTACTGAGCCTATATCTATATAGAGAGTACAACAGAAGGCGCAAACAGCCTACCTTTTTGTGTCTTCCACCGATACTAGAGAATCAAAGTCCCAAAAGCAGAAGGGGCGAGTACGGAAAGACTCATTTCCTCTTTTTTGTCTCGGTTATAAATGCAAATTTCAACATGTACCAGAGTCAACTTGGTATTTTTGAAGGAGGTCTTGCATCACGTCCTATACATTACAAGTGACACGCTGACATTACACTGCCCGTATACCCTGCAGCGGGTATTAATGCGGAAGATAACGCCTTTTCCCCTTTACACATTTCACTGCTTTTCGGGTTTGATTCCAGGAAGGAGGTGTAGGTCAGTCACAGTCATTATATATGGTGGTTTTTTATGTCAAATCCTGCGCATTTGGAATTTGCGCAATAAAGGTTTTGTGTTGTAAAAACCTTTTAGATTCACGAGTCGACCACGAATCTCAGTCATTTTCATTTTAGCTTAAATTCTTCGCTGTGAAGATAGAAAAGAATACAAGAAGCACGAAAAAAGAAATTCATCTTATTATACTAACATAAAAACGCGATTAGAAGTTCAACACTAACCTTGAAAACGGAAGGAAAGCCTCGACATAAAACACATTTAGTGTTCAGGAACAAGTGTTTGACACAAGTGGAAAGTGCAACCCCAATATTTTTACATGTGGTTTTAATGATCAGGTCTAAAAATATACAACGAGTATTAAAATTTACATTTCTGAGAGAAAGGGGGAGGGGGGAGGGGGGCGTTACAACACTGGGAGTCTTGTAACCTGTAATAAGCAATTTTCTTTGGTAGTTGGGCAAGGAAAAGCCTTCATAATTGCTTTATATGTAGGAACAGAAAAAGTGCTATGGCCATTTGCTCCATTTAGTCAGCTGCAACAGTCCTGTGTTGAAAAAGTGAAAATGTATCAGAGTATTTAAAAAGCTGAAGTTCTCGCAATGTCAAATTACAGATGATAAAGATCAAGCTGAAATGAAGAAGCGATAGTTACACAAGGGTTTTTTTTAAAATTATTATTTTACTTAAGGGGGACAAGTCACACAGACTTAGTATAGGCTGATATCCAGACTGCTGACACTGTCCTTTGGCTGGTATCATACAGTTACATGAGCAAAGGCTTTATCAACATTTGAACAGAAATCATTAATGGTTACAGGCATACCAGCCTGTTAATGGCTAAACTTTTATACTTCCATCAATAAAGGCCGCATTACAATTTCACATAAAATCACATAAAGTCTAAATATACCTAAAATAACAATCTAAAATCACCTAACTTAAGTATTTAAGGTTAAATATTAACAGTTCTATGAGTCTTTACATTAGCAATTGCACTTTGCTTTTACAGATAAATGCCTTAAATAAATATTTTACTATAGATCTATTTTTAAGCACCTATACAATTCAGGCTTGCAGGAAGTGGAGCTCTTCCCAGAGAAACGGAGAGTCGGCCAATTGGTGGGTCTTGTTTTATGATGACCAGCGCAACTTGGCTTCATCACCATCAGTGTTCAAACCTTTCTATTAGTGGCGCCATCTACTGTGCTCCCATCTGTGGGTGTATCCTGGAAGCCAGTGCGATTCATTAAAAGTTTCACCATATTTCAGAATCAATAAAAGCTTCATAAGACCTAATTGTGATAACATGGAAAGCAGGCGCAAAACAGCTTCTTGAAGGGGTTGTTTTTATCAGATTTAATGGCATTATCCAAATAGACCCTGCTTTCCAGAATGATCACACCAACATTTTGAACATTTTTCTGGATGTTTTCCACTCCTGTTCCCTGCTCCTCCATGAGGACAGCCACATCTAGGAACAGTTCCTGGATCCCCGCGATTCTCTTCTCCAGCTCCTGCAACTCACGGTGCCGGCTCTCTATCTGCATTAGTGCAGACCGGGTAGATTTCCCTTGTATCTGGATGCTGAACACAGTCAATTCTTCACCCTCCATCATCTCCTCCAGCTCCTCCATGCTAACCTCCTTACCCACTATCTCCATCTGTCTCTGGATCTGCTTTTTACAGGCTTCCCTGTGGTTCATCTCTGTGTCATTGTAGCTGAACATCACCTCCCGCAGAGCGTTGCTCAGGCAGTGGTACTGTGTTCGAGCAATGCGCACTGTGGGGTCCAAACTGCCGCGCTGGACCTCCAGTTCACCTCTGAGGTTATTTAGCATATGCAGCCTCTGCAACACAGCTTCACCTCTGCGTTTAATATCTGCCCCGATTGCGTTGGAGTCCCGTTTTATCACAATGGAGTCTGAAGTCTTATTCAAAGCCTGATAGTTTACGTCCTTCAGATCTCTGATGTCATTTTGGATCTGCTGGATTTCCAGACGTATCAGCTGGGCCTCCTTCAGGACATCATCCAGCTCATTATCTCCAGCTGTTGCTTCATGATCTGATAGGTTATCTAGCTGCACTGTACTGAAACCCTCAGTGTCAGTCTGTACCTGATGCAGGTGTCCCAGTCTGTCTCTCATGGCTGGAAGGAAACAGAAAAAAGGTAGATTTACTCATCTGGGAGAAAAGGTTTATCCGTGACTTGAAAAAAAAAGCATCACATACAATATATTTAGTGTTTAGCAACTTTTAGAGGCAATGAGCAACCATATTCTTCGTTTGTAGTCATGTTTGAGGCCAGTCTTCAGCTTCTAAGGGAGGTATTTGGCTCTTTGGCTACTAAAGTTGAAATTAAACTATGTTGAACAGCTAGGTGTGTGTCTGTGTGTGTGAGCAGACTGCTTTTTCAGAAAAAAGCAGTCTGCAGCAGTTCAAAATGATGACGATGGGAGAAGTGAGTGTCTTAAAGTAAAAAAACAAACCCCCAGCGTTATGAAGCTGAGGAGATTATTATCATCTGTGGGTTCGTGAGTACGTGCAGTGCGTTGTGTAAATTAAAATAAATAAACAGTAAGCTTTGCAGCTGCTTTTAGTTTTTATTTTTCCAAAGTAAATGAATAAAAACATTTCAAATTGAAATTAAAATAAATATTTACTCCTCAAACTTGGTTTAATTGATTACAACTAAACATCTTACTGCTGAACCGACCGCCACCGCCTGACCTTTTTACCCTGAATTGGCTGTAACATCCCTGCTGAAGACATAAATGCTTCCTGTTTTACAAGCTAAAACAGAAAAACACCAAGAGAAAGCTGTTTCCCAGCTAATGACTGTAAAGCTTTTATTCTGTTAAGCTCATCTTACAAAATAAAACACAAAGGTTTTGTAATCAGTGCATAGCACCGTGGCACATTTTCTACATCTCCAGTATCGAGTAATCTTAGATGAATTCTCCTGATCCACTAGGACGTGTAGTCTGTCAAAGACTTGCCAAACAAGTTCTCAAACAGAGAAGCTGTTGGATTTTTTCTTTGTTGCAATACTTTGAATTAAAGTGTTTTAAGCTTTGGTGACGGTTTAGCTCCCAAGCAGATCAGGTAAACATGAGCCTCAAGGCTGAATGCAGCAGCTCAGGTTTGATTTGGACTTGAGGAACTTTAACACTCTCATTTCCTACTTTCCTGAAAAGCCCCACCCCCCAAAAACAAAAATAATAATATTAAAATTATGTTAAGCTTAACTCAACAAAAACAACAGAAGAAAAGCAAATCATGTTACTGATCACCATCATACAAAGCAGACATGAACTCAGTCACAAGGAAGTCTGGTTGGATTTAAATGATTTTTACAATAGATAATACAAATTTTACATTATTGAAACATATCTATTATTCTGAGCACTGAAAAAGCCTTATTGGGATGTGAATACTTTCTGTAAACATTAACAGTGTAAAGTACATGGACATAGCTGTATGATTTTGCCAGTACTGGCCCTTTTCTTTAAATCAGTAGTAAATCACACATCATATGATTCATCAAGACAAATTCGCCCTTTCTATCAGATGCAGTATAAACTCACTAACAGTTTAATGTCTTATATCATGATGCTGTGCTGACAACATTTGCACTAAAAAGGCCCCCTGAGCAAACCTAAAGAATATAAAACCTATGAAGCTATGATTATAGAATTATTATATCTTACTTGTATTGTTCTTAGTTAGCCGTAGATGAGTTTCAGATACTTCCTTGTCCTCTGTAGTTAAAGGCGATCATGAAAATGGGAGTTCAGTCCAGTTAGTAGAGCGATGGCTGCTTTAAGAGCAAGTGATTTTTTAAAACTGTTAACCATCATCTCTGATAGACCTGCTTATGAGGAAAGGTTTTTAAAAACAAAACTTTCTGCATTCCTCTCGTGTCACGTGGAGACGTGAGGTGACGTACAGTATGACAAAGCCATGCTTGTTAACGATTTAACATAAAAATGAAACACTCGTGCTTACATTTCACCTCTGTTATCATCACCTTTACCGCACTGCTTTTTTAAAAAAAAATAGCGTTCTCGGGTGTTGTTTTCTATCAACAGAAATGGCAATGAAGGGGGTAAATGGCTGTGCTGAGGCCTTGACAAAGCACATATAAGATAACATCAGGGATAGAGGTCACTGACTTTGGACACACGACATGTTAAAAAAAATAAAGAGGAAGTATTTGAGATAGCTTATCTTCCAGAGGGGTGGGACCAAAATGTTCTTATATGATAAAAACTCAAGTCTAAAAAAAAAAGAAAAAGAAGAAGACATGAAACACTGCCTTTTTTAGTTAATACTTCTACATCCTTTCCTGTTTCATGAAACACAATCTAAGTGTGAAGCCACCAACCATCAAGTGATTTTCAGTCATGCAGCCAGAAAAAGAAACTCAAGCTGAATAGATCATTCGGTGCATAGGCTGCATGTGCATGAGCAGTAATTTCCATCGGCCTACTGAGTTTCTGAGTCACTGGGATTGTTTCTCACGGGGGATTTTTTTTGAAGGCCAACGTGTGCCCTATAGCTGTATAAGCATAACTGACACTTTACTCTTAAGACAAAAGCATAAATGAAACCATGTGAAGTTAAAAATTCCCCACTAAACCACAACCAGCAGTAGTGTTCTCTTTCACCGTTTCTGTTTTTAGCACATTTCTCACTCGCCTTCTTAAGACCTGGTGTCATGGGCTAATGGAGAGAGGACACAAATGTAGTACATAAAGAGAAACTGGGTATTGACTAAAAAAGGAATAAAAGAAAGCTAAACAAAGGGCAAAAAGATTACCCCAACACAGCACAGGAAGGACAATTAAAGAAAGACAAGGAGAAAGAGGAAGACTGGACTATATATAGACTGTGGACTAAATGGGGAATAACAGACAGAAGAGGAAAAAGACACAAGTGAAACACAATCACAACATCCTTTACTTCACAAAGGGGGAAGGAAAATTAAAAAGCAAACTGTTAAATTTAAGCAGAAGACAGCTGATACTAGACACTAAACATGATAACACAGAAGGTGGAAGAATATGGAGGGGAAACATAGACAAGGGAAACACTGTGGGAACTAAAAACCCCAAAAGAAGAACTTCCAAAAACCACACAGGAAACAGAACTCAAATTTTAAAAAAGAAGCTAAAGCTCAACATCATTAGAAGAAGACGCCAAAACAGGATTCCAGAATTAAACCTTCACACAAAATCCTAGAAAATCCTTAAAGACTAAGAAACCTGGTTCATTTTTTGTGGTCGATGACAAGAAGCAAATTCTAACACATGCATTTGTTGGTCAATTGTCTGTTCAAATCACAACAAAGCAAAAGACCAAAGGATCGACCCCTAGATGGCAACAAAAATAAATCGTTCAGTCAGAACATCTCAAATTAGAACCTGAACTTTGTTTTTATAGTTTAACTGTCACCTACAACTTTGAGCAACGGAAATATTGACCACTTTATTTCATTTATCTCTATACAAGAGTGAAAGGGAAGTTTTACAAGATGCTAGTGAGACCTGCTGTGATGTATGGTTTGTGACGGTGGCACTAACAAAAAGACAGAAGGTGGAGCTGGAGGTGGAGGAGCAGAGCTGAAGACAGACCGGGATGGACAGGATTAGAAAGGAGTGCATCAGAGGGATGGCTCAGCAAACAGAGTTAGAGAGGCATGCAGCATCTATCTGGGTGGTGCAGAGAGCTATTTTCAATATACCAGATCAAATGTTTTTTACTTGACAAAAATTCACAGTCAATAAGTGTAAAATGATCTGATATTTCATGTAGAGCCAAGAAAGTAAAAAAAAAACACATAAAAAAAACAAGTAAAACAAAGATTATACACAACTTTAATGAAAAAGCCCCAGAATGCTTGGGATTTAGTGGTTCTTCTAGTGGTTTTGCTGACATGGTTATGCTCAGTTTGTCCAGTTAGAGGGAAGGGATGATCTGTTAAGCACTACCTCTTCTGCTCACTCACTTCAATCTTCTTCTTCTATCCAGCTTGCTGTGCCTTCTTTCTGCCACACCCTCACGGGAAGCAGAGCTTTCAGCTGCTCTGCTCCCAGGCTGTGGAACTCTCACCCCCCAGATATTAGAAGCACTGGTTCTCTCCCCCAGTTGAAATCAACTCAAAACCCATCTGTTCAAATCTGCATATTCACTGTGAATTTATTGTTTGTTTATTTTATCTTGTGCTTTTTGCTTTTATTGTTCTTCATTGTAATTGTTCTATTATGTGTTTTATTCTATTGTTAAGTGTCCTTGGGTGTCTTGAAAGGTGCTTTTAAATAAAATGTATTATTATTATGAAAATTTTTCTGAAATTGTATTATTTATCGTAAGAATAACAGTCTCTTCAGCAGTGTTACGGAGACTTGGAGACCTATGCTTTTTTGTGACATTTTTCTGGCCCGCTTTACTCCCCCTTCAACCATCACAGAACCCCTGGAATAAATTCTGAGACCCACTGGTTGCTCAGACATCTTGCATCTTAAAACGAGCCACTTTGAGGTGGTTTGGATGCCTCCTGGAGGCCTTCCTTTGCATGTGCTCCAGGCAAGCCCACCTGGGAAGAGGATCTTGTCTAGCTGGAGAATACCTTGGGAACCCTCTGGAAAAGGAATATTAAAAGTATTGACTTTTTTAAATTTGTTTTTTCTGCATAACAATAAGTTCTTTTTCATATATCTTGTGTTTGTACTTAAAAGGCGACTTCACCCATGAAACACATTTCTTCTTACACATTTTTCTGTTTTGGATCTCTAACCTTGAGAGAAGTCTAATACTGAATGTGATACTAATGGCACTTAACTTGGTAGTGCTCAAAGCTAAAAAAACAAAAAACAAGAAAAAGCTCTGAAAGCCCCAGCTGCAATATCTCTTTCTAGAAACCCCGAGGGCAGTTTTATGTAGGAACTACTTTTATTTCTATTGAACTCTTCCCCCTGCGCCTGAGGACAGGCTAGTGTTGGTGACACTGTGGTATAAACAGTGATGGCTGAGCTGCACGTTTCTTTTGGTTCAAGTATGTAGAAAGAATGATGTACACCAAAGGAAAAACATATCAATTAGAGGTGAACTTCTGCCAGAGATTCACTTTTGCCACATTGTCTGTGCAACATGCCTCAAAGTCTATGCAATATGTTGAAGTATTTATTATATCCAGCAGATGTCAGTGATAAAACAATCAGGTCTCAGGGCCACAGATACAACAGTACTTTAATCTGCTCCAGCAAAGCTCATTAAGTTTCCAAAAAAACACAAAAACAAAAACAAACAAACACATACACACAACCAGCACAAAACGAGCAACTAACTAAAGACTAAGCTTTATACTTCTCCAAGTCATATGTAAACATATGCAGCTTACATTATTGTTTTAACAAATTTCTGTTATTACCTTTTGAGACAGATGGTGATATTAAGAAACATCACATAAGATTAAAAAGCATGTGCATTAGACTTATGGATCTTTATTTTTGTGGACAGTTTTTATTTTTAGATATTTTCCCAAAGATATTCAGGCTTTTTATAGATTGCAGTGTTTAACTTATTTTCAGCACCAGATGCAGCTAATAAACAAAAAGAAGGGGGAAAAAAGGGGGAAAAAAGAAAATACAAATTGAAAGTTCCAGTTAAATTCATGTAATCTGTTTTTTTCAGTCAGCTGGTTCTAATTTAAGCAGCTACTAATCAATAAACCATGTTGCATGAGATTCATATGTACATTTCCCTGGTCACAAGTTGTGATCTGGGCATGTGATCAGCAAACTAACTCTTAACATCAGACTCTAACTTTGACACTCTCTGCACTGTTTCTCAAAGGTCCAGACCTACCAGGCTCAGTTAAAGAAACACTGGGAAACTGTTCATTGTGAACTAGCCAAGACTTCTTATTCTTAATGAAAAGCTGCAAATCTGCTAAACTCAATGACAAAGGTCTACTTTGTGCACTTGGACAGTTGAACAAACCATAACACTGTAACACTTTGCCACGTTCCTCTGCAAATTTCCCTTTTTTTAAATGGAAATGTGAGTTTTACCTTCAGAACGTTTTGTTACATAACGGGATCGCAATGTAATGGGTCAGAGCATAAAAAAGTGCCTTCTAAATTCTAGGTTTTACTGATAAGATCCAGTAACTATAACCGTCTTAAAATATATCTGAAATTCCTATTTAAAGTACAAAATTGGTGTCAAATTAATCAAATATTTACTAACTGTGATAAGATGATTACCTCTGTAGAACAACATGCTTAATGCGATATATTACAGTTGCTGTCTCTGTGTGTTTTCCCCAAAAGCAAGCTGCAGCCATGTTTATAGTATACTGATTTACAGTTAATCACATTTTCTGCAGTTCTGTAACATATACGGTGCAACTGTGCAGTGCAAAGATTTAAAAAAAATAGCTGTGTTAAAAAAAAAAATTTTATACAGTGCAATAAATTCCGTTCAGACATAAAACTTGAGTCATCTGTTAGGTCTGAATTTTATACATAGTCCTTTATGATAGCACAAAATGCACAGGTAGATGAAGAGGACATGTACACACATGCAAGCTGACTCACGGAGACCCCCTGCACTTTTATTACATTATGTAGCATTAGGCCTCAACAGCTAGGCTGCTGTAATCAGTGGAGAAAACATCAGCTGTTTTCACTTATCCAAAGTTGTGACTCTAATTAAGTGAGCTTATTAACTTTGTACTAAGGTTCACATAACAGCACCAGTGTCTCAAAGAGTTTGATCAAATCAACATGAATGCCTGTCATGGGTTTGCAGAAGTTTCTCTGCTCTAAGCTTTCCCAAGGTCTCATTTTATCCACCTTGGTGACATATCATAC